GTGGTGACGAGGTATGGTGTTGAAGGTCGAGGTATGGTGTTGGTGGTGATGATGGAGGTAGCATTTGAACTATTGTGGTCAAAGGGGGTAAATATTGAGAGTTATTTTATCTACAATACTCGACTGCAGCAACTCTCTCTCTCTCTCTCTCTCTCTCTCTCTCTCTCTCTCTCTCTCCCTGACCAATAAAATAAGTGAGAATGTAACAGTATGAGAGGAGGTGAACACAGAATTATTATCTCGTGAAATATTACTACGAGTTTTTTGTTTGGTCCGTCATAACAAGATTAAAAACTCTGCTTATGTTCATTTCCAGGTAATTAATTAGTAGGTAAAGTAGACCAGTGTGTTGTCTTGGATAATTACTACCACTACTACTACTACTACTACTACTACTACCACAATTAAAACAACTATCCCCTCCCCTACACCCCCCCCCTTGACGCCTCCTTCAAAACAACTACCTCGTCCCAGACAACTACACGAACCTGATACACCGCTGGGACAATTATACCGGTAATTAAATCCAAGTTACATTCTAGAGTTTAAATGGAAAGTTGACGGCAATTTATGACTGCGACAGAAATTAAATTCGAGTTGTCTCCACATTTTTCTTCATTTTCTTATTTCCTGTTTTAAATTACGAGACCTGTGAACATAAATTGTGATTTTTAATGTTTAATTCTGAATGTTTAAATGGAAGTTATGTGTGTTTAGTGAAGTATAAAGATGCGCTTTATGTTTTGTGTTTCCTAAAAGCCATTGTTGTTTTTTTAATCAAGGTTTTATAGATGTAAGTCAATATTTTTAATTGTCGAAAATACCAATTGTGTTTCTTTTTATTGTCTTGTTATAGGGTAAAAAAAATTGTAACATTTAAAAAGTAGATAAATTTTTTCCTTGGTCGTGTGTTGTGAATAATTTTGATGAAGTACGAGTTTGTGATATATATTTTTTGGGTGGTGGTGGTGGTGGTGGTGGTGGTGGTGGTGGTGGTGGTGGTGGTGGTGTGGTGTGGTGGTGGTGTGGTGGTAGTGGTGGTAGTGGTGGTGTGTGGTGGTGGTGGTGGTGGTGGTGGTGGTGGTGGTGAGTGGTGGTGAGTGGTGGTGGTGGTGGTGGTGGTAGTGGTGGTGGTGGTGGAGGAGAATATATTATTATTTTTTTATTCGATGGAGGATGTTAATAATTTTTTTATAAGGGGAGATACTGAAAATTTTGAGAAAAAACCAACCAGGAGAAGGAAGGACGGAAGGAAGGAAGGAAGGAAGGAGGTGTAGAGAGAGTAAGAGGTCACCAACAGTCACCCCTCTCAGTGTTGGGAGAGTGAGGGGAAGAGCGTCCTCACTCACTGATGATTCCTGTTTCATATTTTCCAATCTCCTCCTCCCCTCTTATCGTGACCACTCTTTTCTTTCTCTCTCTCCCTCTTTCTCCCCCCTTCTCCCTTTACCTCTCTTCCCTCACTCTCCTAGCCTTCTGCCTCCCCTCATCCATCTTTCCTCAATCTCTTGCCTCCTCTCACACCTCTCCCCTCACTTTTCCAATCACTACTCACTCACAATCTCTCGTCTCCTCCCCTCAGTCTCCCCCTTTCATCTTTGTCCTTCACCTTACCACCACATTTTTTTCTCTCTCTCTCTCTCTCTCTCTCTCTCTGACACAGCTGGTGAGCCAACACCGTTGTCGTTCATTCTGGAAAAAATGAAGGGCGAGTTGTGGCTGAGAGAGAGAGAGAGAGAGAGAGGTCCCTTTATCTCTCTCTTTCTCTTCTCTCATGTACATTAACTCACTATATTTTCCTCTCATTCTTTCTCTATCTTACCTTCCATCTTTTTCTTCTGTCTGTCTGTCTGTCTAATCACTAATTACATATCTGTCTTCCTCTGCTTGTCTATGTATCTACCTCTCACTTGTCTACGTGTTCTTTCCCTTCCTACATCATTTATCTATTCTTTTTTTTCCTTTTTTTCTATCCCCTTATTTATTTCCGTCATCTGTCTCTGTTATAAATAATCGTCTCCTCATCACAAACACCTTCTCTCTCTCACACACACACATACTAACCTTTCCTTTCTTTATTTTTCTCCTGTTTTTATCACATGGCTTTAGGGCTGCTTGAATAAACATTAACAGCCTCTCCTTACTCGCCTCAGGTCACTACTGAACAAAATGTCTTAAGAAGTATATATATATAGAAGTGGGTTTTGGTTTTACAGGTCCTTGATAGATGTGAATAGTGAGTTGTGGATATGTTGTTTACCTCACTGCCCGAGGGGAGGGAAAACTTTATTTCCGACTTGTGTAAAAAAAAAAAATAATAAAATCTTCTAAAGTCTAAATAAAATAAATTCTATTACTACAATTTGTCATTATTAAGTTTTATTTCCCTTGGTATTTTAAGTTTATTATTTCTATGTATACAGGAAGTTTATATAATGATAACGTAACCAAACCTCACTTAACCTAACCTTTGTGTGACGCCCGTACATAAACACTTTATTGGTTGGAATTATAGCTCTTGTGTTCTGAATGTTCGTTGGTAATTTTTAACCTAACCTAACTCAACCTAATCTAACATCAGCTAACATATTAATTAACTTAACCTATCCTTAGCTAACTTAACTTCACCTAACCAATACCATCTAACCTAAGGTCTTTTTTTTTTTACTTTGTTTCTCTCCCTTCTCACTCCCTCTCTTTCACTTTCTGTCTCTAGCTGTTGCCCATTCTCTCTCTTTTCTCTCCTTCTCTCACTCTCAAATCGTCGTCCCTGTGGCAATTTCATACCCCCCCTCTCTCTCTCTCTCTCTCTCTCTCTCTCTCTCTCTCTCTGTGGCAGCATCATAATGGTGTGTGTTGTGTGAGGCGGGACCACCACTGCCGCCCGTTTGTTGTTTTGATGGTGCTGTCTTCCAGGTGATGTGTCTGTTTATCTGACTGTTTTGTTTGTCAGTTTACTTGTTTATCTACTGTGTCTGTCTGTTTGTTTGTATGTCTGTCTTTGTCTTGGGAGGAGGGAGGATGAGGGGGTGGATGGCGGCTTCCTGACAGGCAATATATACTCCACCTCTAACTTAAATAAACTTCTACGGTATTTTCATTTCGTAGGTTCATCTCACCCACCTTCCAACCCACCCACCCACCTTCCAACCCACCCTAACTTAACCTGCCGTTCATTTCTGATTCATAGACGAGCGCTGACGTTCACTATGCCTGCGAACTAAGACCAAAGCTTTGACAAACTCCCGCCAACAATCACTCTTATTACTCTCCATTCAAACTTATTTCTCATTCTATCTTATTCACGCGATTATTATCATTTATCTCTCTATTTTTCCTACTTTCGCTTCTCCATTATCATCAGTCTATGTCATATTCTTTTCCTTTCTTTGTTTATGTTGCAGACGTAATAAATTATGACTCACGTTTGCGATTCAGATTATGAGGAAAATTAATTGTGTTTGTTTTGCGATTCAGATTTCGATGATAATTTTGTGGATAATTTCTTCATTTATATACCACAGTTGGTACAGTTTATTATCATTATTATTATTATTATTATTATTATTATTATTATTATTATTATTATTATTATTATTATTATTATTATTATAAAATTATTATTATCACTTCACTAAAACTCCAAAATACAACTAAAATCAAGTTACAAAAAAAAGGTTACAGGACCACAAGTTACAGCAGAGTTACAAACAGACATCATTGACTCCTAAAACTACCGGGGTATTTTTTTCTCTCTCTCTTGCGGACTGTTGGTAATATGTATAGGGTATTTACCGAGTATATTTTGGCGAGAGTTCAAATGTGAGAGAGAGAGAGAGAGAGAGAGAGACATTAACAAACTCTACATCTTTCCTCATCACTTATACTTTATCTACCTCTCTCTAGACGTGTTGACTTAGTGTTTACTGAAGAAAGAGCGTGTTAAACAGTCTCCCATGCAGTAGCCACATCGACATACTGAATGAACGTAAACAAACACTACGTCAGGCTGAGTATGAAAAGCCCGGGTGGGTATGAAGTGCGCGTCAGGACAAAACACAAAAGGCTACAGCTACAACTACAGACTACAGACAACTACAACAACAATAAACTACAACAGCAACAGCAAACTACAGCAACAACAAACTACAGAAAACTACAGCACCAGGTTAGAAGACGCGGCAGCAGGAAGTTGAGATTGACTTTTGTGAGCTTGACATTGGAACATCCTCCTCCCCCTTCCTCCTGCCTCCTCCCCCTTCCTTATCCTCTTCCCCCCTCCCCCTTCCTCCTGCCGCTCCCCGATGCTACTGGGACCTGGCAGACCCTGAGTGGCGCTGCAGGAGGCCAAGAAGGAGGAGGAGCAGCAAGAGGAAGGGTCGAGAAGACAATTGATGATGATGATGTTGATGATGATGAGGAGGAAGAGGAAGTAGGAAGAGAAGGAGGTAAGGAAGATGGAAGAGGAGGAGGAGGAGGAGGGAGAAGGAGAAGAAGGTTGGACAGGAGGAGGAGGAGAAATGGTCGAGAAGAAAATTTATGTTGAAGTGGAGGAGGAAGAAGGGAGAGGAAAATATATGATGATGAGAAGGAAGAATAGGATGAAGAGGAGGAGGAGGAGGAGGAGGAGGAAGGAACGAAAAGAAAAATGATAATGAAGAGGAGAAGGATGATGAGAAAGAGGGAATAAGAGCGGTAAATGAAGACGTGAAGAAGGAGGAAGAGGAGGAAGAGAAAGAAAGAAAGATTAAGAAAATATCCCCCAAGATTCTTTCAGATCCACCAACGGATCATCCAGAGTGCCATATACACCAAATTATCACTCATGGTTCGAATACACCCAGAGTGACGTTTATTGACATTGGTGGTCGAATGCTCCCTGGGAGTTTATACAGCCACCATGAGTATAAAATGTTCTAAAAATAATATTAAGAATTTATTATTATTATTATTATTATTATTATTATTATTATTATTATTACCCACACTTTATCTCTCAGTAGGTGTGGTCGTGGGCTGCCAGTGGGCGTGATGTGGGCGGTATGGACGTGTGTGGTGTGGACCTGCCTTATCCTCCTGGTCCAGCCCAGCTTTGGATACCGTTCAGGTGAGTGACTAATGTGTCCTTGAATAGTGATAGAACTACTACCACCACTACTACTACTAATTAAACATCAACCAATCAGATACAAACCCTGCCCGTGAACCCTTCCCACAGTCGGGTATATTATGAAACTAGTGACGCTGTTACTGTAAATTATTATAGTCACTGCTGAAGACTGTCTCATATCCTCGTTTTCTTTTACAACCCAAAAACCTCGCCATCATTATCTTTATCCTAAAATACTCTATGTGTTATAACTTCACGAACTGTTAACACACACACACACACACACACACACACACACACACACACACAGGTCTCTCTAGTATAATATTATTACTGTAAATATTGATAATTACCCCTAATAGAATATATAAATAGCTTTCCACTTGATGACGATTGGGTATTACTAGACAGAAATATATAAAATAACAATATATTTCAACCAGTAAACGCAAGAACCTTCTGTATATGACGGGGGAAACGACAGACAGACAGAGGAATAGACAGAAAAAATCACGACAAAGATTAGGGCGAATGTGTTATTTATCATCCCAACTTTGTCGTCAAGTGTGAGGCTACGATCTGAGGTGAGTGGTTTAAGACCTAATGCCGCTGGACCAGGATTAGTAACAGTAAAGTCAGGAACAACGACGAGGTGATAAAGATATATTTAGAAAAGAGAAAGAAACAAATAACAAGTAAACAAAAACGGAATGAGTGAGGAAAGAGAGAGAGAGAGAGAGAGAGAGAGAGAGGAAGCGAAAACGTAGACGTGTATGTGAAAGGGGGAAACACACCTATTTAGAGCACCGCCTCGCTCCCTCCCTCCCTCCTGCCCCTCCCTAACCCGTCGTAGGTATCAGAAAGATTGCTTTACGAGGCCGTCAAAGTGTAGGAGCTCGTTAAGGGCTTCCTTGTCACGGGTTCTCGCTGCTGCCGGGACCTCGTAAACGGGGCGCCGGGGATTTTCTCTGTCAGAAATGTTAATACGGGAAACTGTCAGGGGGTCTCTGAGGCAAATATACGAGGATTACTTCGGTCGTCTCTCTCTCTCTCTTTCTATTCGTCTTAATATGTCTCTCGCTTTTTCTATATCTCTTTTATCTTCTCCCTATCTGTCTCTTTCTGTCTATCTCTCTCTCTCTCTCTCTCTCTCTCTCTCTCTCTCTTTAAGGAGGACCAATAAAGACAGTCTAACGATAGAATATCTGTCTCTCAAACTGTCTTTGAAGTTGGTCTAAACATGGGTCACTTATAGAGCCTTCTTACTCTATAACTGAAGCCTTGGTTTAAGTATAAATGGTTTACTTACAAAACATTTTACTTACATAATTATAATCTATTCATGAGTTACTTACAAACTCTTAACTTAAAAATGGATGAATTATCGATGAATGACTTACAAATTTAGACTTCCGTAAGTTTATTTAAGTATGGTCCATTAATGCACTACTTTAATACTATTACTTTAGATAGCTGATAAGTGGCCCACATAAAAATGGCCCGAATATTAATGAACCACTTCAGGAGTAATTCACTTACAAACGACCGTCACTTACAACACTTAAACCGAAATAGACTCGTTAACTCTCCACTTATAAAGAGGTTTACCACTTATAAAACCTCTCCACCTATAAGACTTCTTCCACTTATAAAACAACTTTACTTATATAAAACTTTTCACTTACAAATGATCCAACTTTTACACGGTGAATCAGTGAGTTCAACTTGTGAAGGCGACTACCACTGTATGTATGTATGTATGTATGTATGTATGTATGTATGTATGTATCGTTTATGAGGTTTTAGTTTTTTAGGGTGGTTCTGTGGTTAGGTTAGGTTAGGTTAGTTCGCCTCTCTTTCTCTCTACTCCCTATTTTCTTTTCGTCTATTCTCCACTCCCCCTTTCCCCTTCCTCTTCCTCCCTTCCTTTCTCACTTTCTCTCCCCCCCCCCCACCAACACCCTTCTTCTACCATCAACCCTCCCTGCATCCCACCCTCCCCCTGCTGAGAAACACACAGGGAGGGGGAGGAGGGAGAGAAGAAAGAGAGATAGATAGAGACATAATTAAAGGGTTACGAGACATTCCCGGGAAATACAGAAAGTTTCTCCCGTTGTTTAATTCAAGGTCTCTCTCTCTCTCTCTCTCTCTTCTTCCCCCACACTTTCCTCCTCCTTATCCCCTCCCCGATACCTCCTCCTCCCTCTCACTGTCCCTCCTCCCATCCCCTCGCCCTCTCCCATAACTCCTCTTACCCTTTCCTCCTCTCCCCCCTTACTCCCACAATTTCCCTTTTTTCCTCTCCTCTTACCCTATCCCCTTTCTCCTGCCTCCACTCCCAATACCATAATTCCCTTCTTCCCTTTCCCCGTGTTTCCCCTCCACCTTCCCACTCACCCCCCTCTCTCCCCCCTCACTCCACACGCTCCAGGATATGAGGAACACCCCCCCTTCACCCCTTTAAGACACCACCAACACACGGGAATTCTCAAGATATTGTACAAGGTCTGAGGAAGGAGAGATATATTTTCAAGACGTTTGCTCGTTCGTTAGCTGTGAGGGATGAAAGAAAGAAAGTGATCTTTGTGTGTGTGTGTGTGTGTGTGTGTGTGTGTGTGTGTGTGTGTGTGTGTGTGTTTAAGTGAGTTTTTTTCTCTCTTTTCACCAATAAACGCACCCCCACCCCCCCACACACCAAACATCCTCATAAAATGTTAATCATCAGGTAAAATTCGTACAGGTGACAATTCCGTCCAATAACAACAAACACCTAACTCATTCGAAATCGCGCTGGACAAAACTCACAGATGGATTCACAACTTGGAACCATCATCATCACCATCATCATTATCATCATCATCATCATCATCATCATCATCATCATCATCATCAAAGAGATTCACAGTTATTTCACTAATTTAACCAGAAGCGTCAAGAAATATCAACACAAAAAGACATTAAGAAGGTAAATTAGCTAAGGAAGCAAAGACTATGACCTCAATGGCTCTATCCTACTGTGTCAAACTAAACCCGTAAAAAGACTGAACCAATAGTATCTGTACAGCGAATTCCTAACGAAATAGAAATGAACAATATCACTAGCTAATTCGTAAACATGATTAAGAGAGTTACTGATGACTAGTAACGCTATTAGTCAACAAATAAATAATATAACCCAATAAATCAGCAGGTCTCGACGAGATATTTGCCAGAGTATTAAAAGAAGAACTTAGTATACCCTTGAAGAACCTGTTTAACGCCATTAAGGCTGGGTGTTACACCAGAGTCTTGCAGGATAGCGAATGTGATACCGATTTTCAACAAGGGAGATAAATTACTATAGTGAAGTATTCTCAAACTATGGCATAATCAATGTTAAATCAATTGTGGGAAAATTACTGGAAGCAATAGTTACAAATTCATTTTGAAATCGTCTTGAAAAACCCAAGTTGGTTAACGAATTTCAGCGTGACTTTACCAGCGGGCTTTCTTGTCTGACAAATTTGCTACCATTCTTTTCGAGCATTTTCAAGTGGCCACAACTACCATGTGGAATACCTTACCAAAGCCTTTGATAGGGCCCCTCGCGAAAGAATTATTCAGAAGTTAAGGTACATGGCATTGGAGAGTATAATCTAAGTCTGATTAAAGCAAGGTTAGGTTAGGTTAGGGGTTAACCCACAATAAACAGTCAACATAAATGGCACAGAAGTAACCTAACTACGGTATTATAGTTGGCGCACTCAAAGACTCGGCAATCGGACCGTTACTATTCATTCTATACAATAACGACATAAATATAAGCGTTGACGGCAACTTAAGTAAATTTGCTGACGACAAAAAATGGGGCGATTAATTCAATCCGATAAAGGACTCGGGGGAAAAATTACAGGAAAACCTAAAAAAAAATTTAGTATAGACTGAATGGATATTGATCGAAGTACAAGTATATAAATGAAAGATGGGGTTAAATAAAGGTGATATAACTCAGGTACTTAAGCTATCAAATTAGAAGTCAACACAACAATGCTTTTAATTTAGACAAATCTAGATTTAAATGGGAATTGGGTAAACATTGGTTTGGAAAGAGTTCCGGAAGTGGAACAAGTTATAAAACACCATCAATAACTCAAACTGGCTGGGAAGTTTCAAATGGGTGTAAACAGAGCTGCTTAGTGTGGGTTAGCCGGTCTGCTGCAATATCCTTCATTTTTATGTTCTAATATCAGGAACAGCCTCAACCTACAACAACAAACCCGTTCGAAGTAACGCTCGAGAACTCAGGGATTCACTCACTATACGAATGATACCTACGAATCACTAGAGAGATTCACATGGGAAGACTTTCTAACTACTCATAATTCACAATCAAAACCTATTCGAAAATAACGCTGGACAATCTCACGGCTTCACAAACTCCATTCGAACCATCAGCGAGATTCAGACAGGTAATGCTTTGATCTACAGCCACACTCAATCATGCCGGCTGGAAAACAACGTTTCGTTCCCTCCTAAATACCATGGCTTTACAAATACCAATTATCATGAGGTCTGCTTGACAAGGGCCTAGTAATAATTAAGGAGTCAGAGGGCGTAACACACACACACACACACACACACACACACACACACACACACACACACACACACACAGGATCATCCAACACCATAACCAGAATAGTAATGACTGGTGTAATACGGCAGACCAGCACCCTAAGCATCCAGTGGCATCTACTGCATCTCTCTCTCTCTCTCTCTCTCTCTCTCTCTCTCTCTCTCTCTCTCTTTCTCTCTCTCTCTCTCTGTACGCGTGTGTGTGTGTGTGTGTGTGTGACATTATATTAATTTATCGACCTCTGAAAATTATCTCGCCCTCCTCTCTCTCTCTCTCTCTCTCTCTCTCTCTCTCTCCACAGAGAGACACACACACATAGATTCGTAGATTCACAAAGAGAGAGAGAGAGAGAGAGAGAGAGAGAGAGAGTCGTTATATTCCT